CAGACTGAGTGTAGTCATGTGACTAGAAATCGACTCCAGTGGTCTCACAGGGTTTTTTAGTCCTGGTTTTTCTGATTTTAATTCGAGGTTAATTGATTTGTGAAGTAGTAAGAATATAAACTATTAAAAGTCTCTAGTTGATCGAAGTCAGCGTTCTCTTGCCGCTTCAAAGTTCGACTTCACATGAGTTACATGCAAATTACTGAGACAACATTCCAAAACCTCTGGCATAAGACTGCAACAAACGAGGATGGGGCCGGAGAAGTTTGACACCTCAGAGTAGCTTTAAATTTGTAATCAATCCTTTAATTGTAGTCGGCATTTGCAAGAAGAGAGAAACTTAAACTAAACATTGAACATTTTAGGCTTCGGAATTCAACTCTGTGACCAGTCATGAAGTTCAACTATTGTTATGTTATTTTTCTACCTTCGCTCAAGACATGCATTGCATACTAATATGAAACAACACATCTAATAGTAGTTCTAGTTCTTACTCAATCATCACCGTCTATGCATGGAAGCTAAAATTGTCAGGGCTTGCCTATTTGAACTTACAGGTACACTGGTTTCCTACCAACAGCGGCTCCATCTACCTTTGTAAAAATGCCATATTGTCAAACTTCGGTCAAGTGTAGATCATCCACTGACACTGACTAACAATGCAAAAACCTAATTGTGTGGAATCTCATTTCGACCATTTCATTTCTAAGCTTTTCGAAAATTTGTTTGAGTGGGTTCAAATATCATTGTTGGTGTAAACGGAGACCCCTGTAAAATTTACACTGTCTCTTTGGTGATAATTTTAACTCCTGCATTCACGCGACATGCATGATGAACTTTTAAAGAAAATTTAACAAGAAATTAGATGCCGATGCATTGCGAACTAAAACTCCTATGATTTACGCACCGCAAGACTAATGATGATTTTAAAATAGACACAACGTCTTGTGATTAGCAAGAGCTGTGTGGGAGTGGTTTAGCTTTCACTTTCGAATTCTTTCTTCTTCCTTCAGTGATTGCAGACGGGTCTTTATTGTGTTGCTACGTTGCTGAATTGCTCCTGAAACTTTCCAAACCGTGAGTATATGTAGTTCATAATACTGTTCTTTGCTGCATGAATTTCAATACAATACAATTCAATACAATACACTTTATTTATCCCCGGTGATGATTAAAGCAATAACTGCTTATGCGGCTATGCATTGAAATAAAGAGAAAAATAACAGACACTGTGTCCTACTTCTATTATAAAAAAATTTACAAATGTTTCTTAAATTGTGTCCTAAAAATCTTATAATCGCTAAATTTTATCCCTGAAAAGTTTCGGAATAACCATTCACCATCGCTCCCTTAACTATTTGGCCCATTTTCCCGATCCATTCCCACCCGTACCTCCCCATACAGTATATATATATTAAAAATATACAAGCTAGACGGAATTTGTTTGCAGAACACGGTCAAAATCCTTTTGACGCAAACGAGCTTGCGCACAAATCCGTAACATACTTCATTTCATATATAATACAGTAGTACTCTTCACTTATAGCGAAAAACCGTTATCAAATTAAACTCTATCGATAACTGTTTCTGTTTTGCGAAACCTCTCGCCCGTTTGTGAAAATTTGTCCGCAGTTGAGTCCATGTTGCAATGAAAGGATCAAGATTAACAGGCAGACTGAGTGTAGTCATGTGACTAGAAATCGACTCCAGTGGTCTCACAGGGTTTTTTAATCCTGGTTTTTCTGATTTTAATTCGAGGTTAATTGATTTGTGAAGTAGTAAGAATATAAACTATTAAAAGTCTCTAGTTGATCGAAGTGAGCGTTCTCTTGCCGCTTCAAAGTTCGATTTCACATGAGTTACATGCAAATTACTGAGACAACATTCCAAAACCTCCGGAACAAGACTGCAACAAACGAGGATGGGGCCGGAGAAGTTTGAAACCTCAGAGTAGCTTTAAATTTGTGATCAATCCTTTTAATTGTAGTCGGCATTTTGCAAGAAGAGAGAAACTTAAACTAAACATTGAACATTTCAGAGTTCCGAATTCAACTCTGTTGACCAGTCATGCAGTTCAACTATTGTTATGTTTTTTTTCTACCTTCGCTCAAGACATGCATTGCATACTAATATGAAACAACACATCTAATAGTAGTTCTAATTCTTATTCAATCATCACCGTCTATGCATGGGAGCTAAAATTGTCAGGGCTTGCCTATTTGAAGCTACAAGTACACCGGTTTCCTGCCGACGGCAGCTCTATCTACGTTTGTAAAAATGCCATATTGTCAAACTTCGGTCAAGTGTAAATCATCCGCTGACACTGGCTAACAATGCAAAAACCTTATTGTGTGGAATCTCATTTCATTTCAGCTTTTCGAAAAAATTTGTCAGCGTTGTTTCAAATATTGTCGGTGTAAACGGAGGCCTCTGTAACATTTGCACTGTCTCTCTGTTGATTAACTACTTTATCCTCCCGACATGCATGACCAACTTTACAATTCAAGGAGAAATTAGATGCCGATGCATGTCGAACTAAAACTTACATCATGAAGGGATTTTTAGCAATTACGGCGGCGACGCCAAGGGAATCACCTTGTAAAAAAGAGATTTATATTTCACCTTCAGCTGTGTAGATCTGTTCAGTACGCCTATCGGTGTAAACGCTTGCTCAGGCTAAATTTGCAATGACAGGGTTCAATTCCAGAAATAAGATACGAAAAATTAGCCATTGTGGTTCACGTTCACCCACTGGAATTTTGCAGATGACAGGTAAAATTGTACAAAGATTCAAAATCCACGTTCTGCTTATTAAACCTATTGTTTGATGACGTTCTCGTTTGCGTCGCTGTCTTGGTTTGCTAAAATGCATTTCCGTTCCATACTTCGATATCACTATTTCCATGATTTACAGACTTAAAATTAAAAATTACGGAATATTATCATTTGGATGTGTCTCGCAAGGACTAAGAACTACTTTTTTTTTTTTTTAAATTTTGTTTTTTTTTTATTTACCAATGACATACGTTACTTACATTAAAGTTACTTACAGAAGAATAAAATATCTACAATTAACTTACAATCAAAAATAAATATATAATTAGCTTACGATAGTAGTAAATAGCGCTCGTTTGGGCCGTAACCAATCAGGAGCCAGGGATTATACCACGTGACCAGGATTTTCCCATACATTCTCTTAAATTTGTAAATCCAAGATGGCCCCT